GGCCCTTCTTATTATTTTAAATGGTTCCTAACTTTTTTTTTTTAATAGCTGAGGTCAAGCATTGCTTTTGCCATCAAGAAGAGTAAAACCAGGGGTGAAACTAGTGTGGCCTAATGGCCTTGCCAACTGTCTAAGGGTCTCTACCAGAGCTTGCTTGTCTTGGCCTCAGTGGTGCAATGATTGGTGGTTCTTTGGGTGTTGTTTGAAGTAGTTATAATAACTGATTGGCATAATAACTTTCTCTAGGTCCTGAAATTGTTAAGTTCATGTAGATTTTGTGGGTGGCTTTGTTTGCTTTTTGAGATGGTTTTGCTATAGAAGCTGTGTTGGTCTGGAACTTACTATGTAGCCAGGCAGGCCTCAATCAGGAGAATCCTTCTGTCTTAGCCTCCCAAGTGGGTAGGGTTAGTGTTGTACACTGCCATGCCTAGCCTGGTGGGGGGGGGGGGGCATTTGAAAGGCATCCATCCCCCTCTTCTGGCCTCTATGGCCACTGCATTTATGAAGTAGAGAGACATACAGGCAAATAAAACACTTAAGTACATCTTTAAAAAAAAAAAAAAGAAAGAAAGAGGAAAGGATGTTTGGCATGCCCCAAATCCCAGTACTTTGAAGACTGAGCCAAGAGGAATGTGGGTTCCAGCCTGGTCCCAGAGTGAAGCCCTCTCTCAAAATAAGAAACCAGCAAATGAGCAAATTTGAACATAACTGAAAGCAGATGCTTGAGTTGGGCACAGTGTTGTGTCCCACAGCTTCAGATGCATGGGGCACTGAGGCAGGAGGATTGCTTAATCTAGGAGTTTCAGACCCGGTCGCATAGCAAGACACTGAGCACCACCTGTTCGTGTGATAGATTCAGATTCTCTTCTCACCCAGGCTGCTCTGAAGGTTGCTGGTCCTAACCCTGACCACTGTGATTACAGGTGAGCTCCACCACTGCACTTGGCTGCTTTTCTCTATTTTTAAAAACCTAAATAAATAAATAGGCTGCGTCATAACTGATGAGTACCCAAAATTCAATATGTGGCCCAATGTCAGTAGCCTCATACTCAACAGCAGTTCTCCTGCCTCAGCCTCCCTACTGCTAGGATTTTTTGCATGTTTGGCATATAGACATGATCGCTTGAATCTTTCTCTTTCTGGAAGTAAGGTCTCACTATGTATCCCTGGCTGGTCCAGAATTTGCCATGTATGTAGACCTATTGACTTCTAACTTGTTACGTTCCTCCTGCCTCTGCCTCCCAAGAATTAGTATTATCAATATACATCACCACATCTCTGGCCTGACACCATCTCTATTTACACAAAAATTTAAGCCCCATTCCCATCCCCATCCCCAATAAAAATAAACAAATTTAGCCTTCAATTCCAGCACTGGTGAGGCAGAGGCAGAGGCAGATGGATCTCTGAATTCCAGCCCAGCCTGGTCTACAAAGTGAGTTCCAGGCCAGCCAGGGCTCCATGATGCGACCTGTCTCGAAACAAAACAATAATTCTCGTTTGCTGCACTTTGTTGCCCCTGGCTTTACTCTTTCCTCACATCAGGGATCTTCATTGACTTGATGCACCTGAAGAAGCAAGGGGGCTTTCGCATATCCTTGTTCTACAGAGACATCATCAGCATCGCTGAGGATGAGGACCTCGGGGTTCACTTTGAGGAGTCAAGCAAGCTGGAAGATCTGCTGAGGAAGGTCCGAGCCAAGGAGACCAAAAAGCGAGCGCTGGCCAGGTGGGCACCCAGCCAGCGCTCGCTGCCCGTACTTCCCTAACAAACCACCAGGAATGCATAGCTCTGCCTTCCCGGCCTGTGCTTCTGCCAAACTGTGCCGCCGCTGGCTTCCTCAGGATGGTGTGAGCTGTCACTTCTCTTCCCTGTCTCCACAGTAACACAGCAGCCTTCCTTCCCTGGATGGCTAAGTACTCTGCTGCATGCCGTAGTACTTTTTCTGCTCTCTGTATGGCAGATTGTAGTAACATCTGCCTCATTAGCTTATTTATTGTAGGGAGTGCATAAAAGACATCAAATACACAGAGAGAAGCCAACATGTTATGTGTGTATGTATGTATTTATTTATTGCTGTTTCAAGACAGTGTTTCTCTGTGTTTCTTTGCCTGTCCTGGAACTTGCCTGTAAACAAGGCAAAGCCTTGAACTTAAAGATCCTCCTTTGCTTCCCAAGTGCTGGGTTTAAAGCTTTATTTTGAATTCCTATACCATGCGGTCAATAGTTACTAAGTTGTTAGATTTCTTTTTCTTTCTTTCTTTCTTTCTTTCCTTCTTTCTTTCTTTCTTTCTTTCTTTCTTTCTTTCTTTCTTTCTTTCTTTCTTTCTTTCCTTCCTTCCTTCCTTCCTTCCTTCCTTCCTTCCTTCCTTCCTTCCTTCCTTCCTTTCTTTCTTTCTTTCTTCTTTTTAAATTGGTTTCAAGCCAGTGTTTCTCTGTGTAGCCTGGACTTGCTTTGTAGACCAGGCTGGCCTCAAACTCACAGCGATCCACCTGCCTCCCTGAGTGCTGGGATTACAGGTATGTGCCACCATGTCTAGCTTTTTTTTTTCTCCCCGACAGGGTTTCTCTGTGTAGCCTTGACTGTCTTAGACTCACTTTGTAGAACAGGCTGGCCTCAAACTCAGAGCTCTGCCTGCCTTTGCCTCCCAGAGTGCTGGGATTACAGGCATATGCCACTGTGCCTAGCTCTGGCTTTTTTTTTTTTTTAAAGAAAGGTCTTGCCATGTACTGTACGCTGGGATTACAGGTGTCTGCTACCATGCTTAGCTGCATTTTGCTTTTTCTCCACCTTTTCTTTGATTTGTTTGTTTGTTTTTATTACTGTTTTGGATAGAGTCTTGTATGTAGACCTGCCTAGCCTGGTACTTGTTATGTTCCCCATGCTAGCTTTGAGGTCAGTCTTACTGTCTTAGCTCCTCACCTGCTGGGCTTGCATCTGTACCACCACTCCCAGTGATGTTTTTTCTATTTAAAGTTCACACCCTGCTTGCATTCTAAGAGATTGCTGGAAAGAATAAGACAAATTGAAATGTGGGTGCTGTGAAAGCATTTTACATAGGAAAGTACAACCCTCGCGTGTCAACTTGCTTTTTTTCTCTTTCTTTCTTCTCCCTCAGGTTGAAGTTCAAGCTCGGTAAAGATGTAGTGCTCATGGTGGGCATTTATAACCTGATCCAGAAAGCTACCAAGCCTTTTCCCGTGAGGCTCTATCGAGAAACCAATGAACCAGTGAAAACCAAGACGAGGACTTTTAATGTGAACACAGGCAGTCTGCTCCTGCCTAGTGATACCAAGCGGTCTCTGGTAGGTGGCCAGCCCTCCCTCCTGAATCTTCTGTTCAAGAGTTGGCAGGCAGGTGGGGGCTGTGGGGATGGCTTTGCAGTTAAGAGATTACTTGCTGTTCTTTCAGGGTCCCTAGGTTCTGTTCCCAGCATCCACATGGTGGCGTACAGCCATCCATAACTTCAGTTCCAGGAGGTTAGAGCCTTTCTTCCTCATGCACATGTGCGCATACATACATGCAGATAAATAAATCTTACAAAACAAAACAAAACAGGAGCTGGGCTTGGTGGCACGTGACTTTAATCCCAGCAAAGAGGCGGCAGGCACAAGGCAAACAGGCCAGGTGTTGGTGGAAACTTTGGCCTTGGCTGCTCAGCATATACTGCTGTAACTGCTTAAGTACAGCGACAGGAAGTGCTTTGTAGTTTCCCCCAAGTGATGAGCAGTTAGGGTTTACACATGCAGTGGACTGTTTGTGAGAATGTCTTCTTGCTGAGCCAGCCAGATCTTTTTCTTGTTCTGAAATGACCACATCTTCTTTCTTGAGCATGAAAGGCCATGTAGAGCTCACCCTCTTCCAGTCCTTTCTCTGCTGTATATTTTTTATGAGGATGTGGTACTGAAAACTGAGACCATCTTTCATTGTCTTGAGACAGGTTCTCATGGAGACCAGGCTGGTCTCAAACTCAGAGATGCACTTGCCTCTCCCTCTCTGTTGCTGTGATTAAGGGCATGCACCACCGTAGCTGGTGGAACACATCCTTTTTAATTATGTAAAATGTGGGGGAGGGTCAGATTTTTGTATAAGTTCAGGACCTGTCTGACTAAAATTAAATATTTTTATTCAGCCTATGTTTTTGTTTTTTTCTGAGTATAAATTTCACACCAGAGAGTCCATCCTCCTGTTTGATGGTATAAGACATTCTCTTCGATTTGTAGGTAACTAGACTGTCATGTTGGCTTATTGGGTAGTAGCCCTCTCACCACTGAGTTTATTGATCCAGTTGCCTGAATAAATCTGAAGGGCCCTTTTTAGTTAGAAGCCCATATTTGACTCTGCCACCAAGTTCTTATATTAATCATATTCCAGGATCAAGGTTCAGATTTGCAAGTAATATTTAGGTGTGTTTCTTGCTGCCTTCCTCTGAGAACTCAATCTAGAACCTGATATGGGGCTTCCCATCCCATAGAGTCCTGTGAGAAAAGTACTCTTCCATTGAGCTATCTACCCAGTCCTTGGTTTGCATATCTGTTGTGTATTGTGGATGGGAGCAGGAGCTCAGGAAATGCAGAATAAGAGAAAAAAGTTTCTCAGGAGCGTGGCCTTTGGCACCAGAATGACCTGGATTTAAAGAGCGCTGTCGTTGTTCAGTCAGGAGCCTGTTGCCCAACTCTTGGCCCTCATTTCGGTCGACTGTTAAACAAGTTTTTGGTGGTTGTTTTGCTTGTTCTACTTCAGATCAAACCCAAAGCCTCCTGATTGCTAGGCAGGTGCTTGCTGTTGAGCCATCCCTGCAGTGCCTGTTAAACCTACCTCCCAGGATTGTTACAGAGAAGTTTATGACATATGTAAATTACCTGGAACTCCTTAAGTAAATGCTCATTACCAGTTGTTTGAGGAGGACATCTGTGGTTACCCATCTTCCCGCTCCTTGAAGAGAGCTGGTGCGTGCGGGCCTGCCTGCCTGTCTGTGTGTGCACGTGTACCGTGCACTTAAATGTAGAGGCCAGAGGAGGACATTGGACATTCTTCTCTGTCCTCTGCCTTACTCCCTTGAGACAGGGTTACTCACCGAACCTAAGCTTATTGTTTTCCTAACCAAGTTGGCTGGCCAGCAAGCCTCGAGCTCCTCCTGTCTTCTCCCCCAACCCAACACTGGGGTTCTGGTTACCTCTGCTGGTACATGGGTGCCAGGGATCCAAACACATCCTAATAGTTGTATAGCACATGCTCTTGCACTAAGCAAGAGCCCGGCCCTCCTAGAGCTAATTTTAACTTGCTTGTGTTTGGTGGCCACAAATGTATCCCCACATAGGCCTTTTGTGTCCTTGTTATTCCCATCCTTTCTCCTTTAGACCTATGGGAGTCGTCAGATTGTGCTAGAGAAAGAGGAGACGGAGGAGCTGAAGCGGTTTGAAGAGCCAGGTTTGATTCTCGTGGGCTTTAAGCCCATGGTAATGCTGAAGAGGCACCACTACCTGAGGCCCTCCCTGTTCGTGTACCCGGAGGAGGCCCTGGTGAATGGTGAGTGTGGAGGCTCCCTGTTCACGTACCCCGAGGAGTAAATGGTGAATGTGTAGACACCTTTTTTTTTTTAAAAGATTTATTTGTTTATTATGTATACAATGTTCTGTCTGCATGTACACTTGCACACCAGAAGAGGGCACCAAATCTCCTTACAGATGGGTGTGAGCCACCATGTGGTTGCTGGGAATTGAACTCAGGACCTCTGGAAGAGCAGCCAGTGCTCTTAACCTCTGAGCCATCACAGTTAGCATGACACCCTGTTTTTATACCTGGGCTGTCCCTGCGTGGTAAGTGGTAAGTACACAGAACAAGGGGGAACCAGCAACTGTCAGTGGGTTTACTGGGCCATGTTTCCTAAATGGATGTTGGTTGGACACCATACAAGAGATGCAAATGGGGTATTTTGATGTCTTGGCCAGCTGGTGGTGCACGCCTTTAATCCCAGTGCTCAGGAGGCAGAGGCAGAGGCAGGTGGATCTCTGTGAGCTCGTGGCCAGCCTGGATTACCAAGTGAGCTCAGACACTATTGTGCTGGGGGACAGGGGAGAAAGAGATGCAGGCCACTGTGGTATTTGTTTTCCAGGGAGCTCCACCTTGTTCAGCGCTCTGCTCACCAAGTGTGTGGAGAAGGAGGTCATGGCGGTGTGTAGATACACAGCCCGAAAGAACACCCCCCCTTATTTTGTGGCTTTGGTGCCACAGGAAGAGGAGCTAGATGATCAGAATATCCAGCTCACTCCAGCAGGTACGTGGCAGAGAGATCCAGGCTCTCTGTCCTGGCATGTGGTTTGGGAGCCCTTAGGGGGCCTGAAGCACCCAAGTCCCGCATCAAACCTGGGAAATGTGTGTTTTTAAGGTTCTTTAGGTGGACGTAACGCCCGGACAGGCCAGGCCAGGCCACCACCGATGGGTGGGTGTGAGACACACAGCATCGTGCAGAGTCACATGGGGAGATAATGTGGTCAGGCTTCAGAGCTGTGTCCATCGTGACTATTTGCACATTCCTGGTGCAAGTTTCAGGGTTTCTCTGCTGATATTTTTCTTTACTGAGAGGGTCATATCACCCTTAACACTTGGTTTATGTCCTGTAATTGCCAAGGCTGTGTGGTGTAGCAGAAAAAACATAGATACTTAGAGTCTGAATGCTTTTGTCTCTTTTTAGCCCCTCCATTCATGGTCTCACCATGTAGCCCAGGCTGCCCTTGGACTCCTGTTCCTCCTGTCCCTGCCTCCTGAGAGCCGTGATTACAGGTGTGCACCGCCACACCCAGCTGTGACTTTGTCTCATGCTGTACATCTGAGAGCTCACTTTCTTTTGTTTTGGAACCATCTCTGCCTCTTGTTAACTTTAACCTTGGGCACAGAACTTAAACTTCCTGTTCTCACTGGAAACTTGTTTTGACATAATTAGGTGTGCTCATGCCTAGCATGGGATGTGGCCATCTAGCCATGCTACTAAGAACACATGCCAGCCGGGCGCAGTGGCACACGCCTGTAATCTCAGAGACAGGTGGATCTGTGAGTTCAGGCCAGCCTGGTCTACAAAGTGAGTCCAGGACAGCCAAGGCTACACAGGAAAACAAAACAAAAACAAGAACAAATGCCATTGCTGTTTTGAAGCTATTTCAATCACTGTCACCTCAGCAGAATGCTTGGTTATTAAGCGCTTCACCTCTCAGCTGCTGTCACCTTTTCATGCCGTGTGCTGCCCAGGCTGCCTGTCCAAACCCAGCAGCAGGCTCAAAGTCAATAGCAGGCACCCAGGGGGGCCAGAGGGCAGAGGGGAAAATCTGGCCCGCTCACTCATTTGCTTAACACCTTCAGCACTGTCATCAAGGGCCTCTACCAGGTAGCAACATTGGTTACAGCGGCTGGATGTTTCCATTAAGGAACCGGACCGGGCACCACGTAGCTCCTACCTCTTTAATGTGTGCTAGAAGCTAGAATAAAGATGGGAAAAGGCTGGCGCTTAGAGGAGATCCCAGTGACACTGAGACTTGGCTCCTCAGGGGTGACACAGTCCAGCTGTGGATTATCCAAAACATAATAATAGTAATAATAATAATAATGATAATGATAATAATAATAACAACAACAAAGCTAGATGCTGGGACCACTGCTGCTGCCTGGTTGTTGCTTCTTGTTTTGGCCCCCATCCTCTGTTCTGCTTCCTATTTACCACCAGAGAGGCTGTTAGACTGACTTTTCCAGGTGTCACCTGATAATGGAGAAACTGGATTTGTAACTCCCAGCCCCAGCATCACAGGACACAGAGAGGTGACAAACAGCTGCATCACTAAGTCATATCTCAGAAGACCTGTCTCCCTTCCTCAGGCTTCCAGCTTGTCTTCCTCCCCTATGCTGACGACAAGCGGAAGGTGCCCTTTACTGAGAAAGTGATGGCCAACCCCAAGCAGATAGACAAGATGAAGGCTATTGTTCATAAGCTCCGCTTCACATACAGGTGAGTGCTGCGTCCTTCTCGGGCTTTCGTCTGCGGCCGCCTCCAGAGTTGAGCCACAGTAGAAGTCTCAGGACATAGACTGAGAGGGTGCGGTTCTTCTGTTCAGTTAGGAGAAAACAGGAGATCATTAAGATCATTACTTGTCACCAAGAACTCAAAAAGTACATAGAGAGTGGAAGCCGTGCTTCTCTCGAAGAGTCTCAGACTGCTGCTAGATCTAAAAAGTCAGGTTAGTAATCGTGTGGTGGCACATGCCTGTCACCTTCGAGTTGAGGCTGGAGGATCGCACATTTGAGGCCAGCCTGGGTTACCTAAGTGAGTCACACTGTCTTGGAAAGGAGAGGCTAGTTGTTTAACAGGTTCACAGAGTGGCACATGCTTAGTCCATCTCCTGTTTGTTTTAGGTGCTATCTTTTACTCTGTAACTCAGGCTGGACTAGAACTCAATATATAGCCCAGGCTAGCCTCAAATTTACAGTACTCCTGCCTTGTTCTGAATGCTGGGGTTACAGGTTTGTCTCACCGTGCCCCCATCTTTAAGATTGATTTATTTTATGTGTGTGTGTAGCGGGGTTAGCCTGTGTGTGTGTGTGTGCGCTGGGCCCATGCCTAGTGCTCAAGGAGGTCAGAGGAGGTGTTGCATGCTCCTAGGACTGTAGTTAAAGCCAGCTTGAACCACCACCTTGTAGGTGCTGGGAACTGAACCCAGGCCTTCTTCAAGGGCAGCACGTACTCTTGATTGCTGAACTGTCTCTTCAGCTCTCAAGTCCTTTCTTCTTCTCTTTGGCTTTTTTGAGACAGGGTTTCTCTGTGTAGCGCTGGCTGTCTTGGAACTCACCTTGTAGACTAGGCTGGCCTCGAACTGAGGGTCTTGCCTGCTTCTGCCTCCTGAATCCTGGGATTAAAGGCATGTGCCTCTGCGCCCAGCTCTCAAGTCACTTTTTATTAACAGAGAAGAAATTTTTACCTTTGTTATTTATTTTGTGTGTGTACCCACAGCTTATGGGTAGAGGTCAGAGGACAACTTAAAAGAGTTGGCTGTCTTCCATCTTTCAAGCCTACTTAACAGTGTGGCTACAAACATAATTGTCACATGCCACCTTCTCTTCTCAGTGTGTATGCTCTGTAAGACATCTGCCTCCTTAATAGGTTGTCAGGACACTGTCGAGAGACCGTAGGAGGATGCCGTGGGGCCCACGGTCATCTTGCACAGTTGCAGTGTGAGACCTGCCGATGAGCAGCTGTCCCCTCCCGTCCCCTGGCCTCCACCATTCTCTGTTCCCAAGAGTTTGACTGTTGGCATGCATGCACCTGAGCGGAATCAAGTAGTGCTTGCCCTTCCGGATCTGATTCTCTCCCTCAGGGTAAGATCCAGATGCAGCGTCGTTGCTGCCTGTGTCTGGATTTCCTTCTTTAGTCAATTAAAACATTCTTTAAAAGGTTGGTTTTTATTTGATGTGTGTAGTGTTTTAGCTGAACGTATGTTTGTGCGTCATGTGTGTGCAAACCCTGGTCTATACCACAGAGCCGTCTCTCTGGCCCCTTCCTTTTTGTTTTTTTAAAGGCTGACTAATATTCTAATATACTTAATGTAAACATATACTATATTCCTTATCCACTCAACTGACTAAATTCTCAGCCTGACTAAAGATTTCAAGATAAATTAATTCAAGTTGGTATTTCATCCTATTCCTACCCCCATCCCCATTTTCCATGTTTAGGAAGAACCACTTGGCCAGAGGACGTGAAGAGCAGTATTTACTGATTCCAATCAGAAAGAAAGAAGAGTCTCTCTTTCTTCTAAAAAGCTGGGATACAGTGTTGGCTGCTGTAGAGATTTGGGCTTTTTCTATACACAGTAACTGCTTTCTCTTCATGATAGCAAAGACCTGTCAGGCTGGAGCTGAAGGTCGGAGCTGGATAGCCCAGAGTAGCCTGGGTGCTGGAATTAGCAGCACGCACCACCACGCTTGGCCTGTAGTCAGTGTATAAATAAAGTCAGTTTAAAAAGGTCTCTTTTCGCTGGATGGTGGTTGTGCACGCCTTTAATCCCAGCAGCTGGGAGGCAGAGGCAGGCAGATCTGTGAGTTTGAGTTCTAGGACAGCGGTGGCTACACAGGAAAACCCTGTCTTGAAAAAAAAACAAAACCAAACAAAAGCCTTTATCTCATTGAGTTAGAGAGCGTTTCACATTCTGTCTTTTATATCTGTGTTACTTCTGGGCAAATGATACTTTTCATTAGGTTTGTGGCACACGCCTGGAATCATGGCACTTGGGGAAGTAGCCGCAGGAGTACCAGGATTTCAGGGTATCCGTGGCTACATAATGAGTTTGAGGCCAGCTTGGAATATCTGAAACCCTGTCTTAAAAAACAAAACAAAAAAAAACAAACAACAAAAACCAAAAAGAGTCCTTTCTCCTTCAGCTCTGAGTTCCTGCTATAGTCCTTTCCTTGACTGTGTGAGCACTGAGCGTCTACTGTGTGGGTCTGGCGTGCACCTAGCATGTAGGCTCTGGGTTTGATCTCAGGTGCGCGTGTCACACACACCAACAATGAAACGGTCCCTGTGTCAGACACTGTTGTATATGCCGCGCCATCGACACCCTGAAAGGGGGCAGCTAAGGAGGGCATCCACTGCGCTTGCAGAGCTCGGCACCTTTGTCAGGACACTCCTGCCCTCTGCAGGCACCCACACCCAGGTGCGCGCGCACACACAAAGGCTTGGAAAAAGAAAAGAAGATCTGGAAGAGACCAGGTTGGTTTGTGCCCGTTTTTCAGGTGAAAGAAGCTTTGGGGCCACAAGACCCCCTCTCTCAGTCTCAGCCAATAGAAAAGCAGTAGCAGCCGGGCAGTCTCCGTGTGTGCCTCTGGGCTCAGACTCTGACCTCCTCTGCTGCCCTGCACACAGAAAACATTTGATTTTCTGCCTCTCCGTCCCACTTGCTTCCTCTGTCTTTTTCTCTGTTCTTCATCACTCTGTTTTCTGCATGCTCGTCACCCCCCAAAGCTTCCAGTGACAGGCCCAGCCTGCTCTGCAGTTAATGTCCCAGCGTCCTGTGATACACTGAAAGTTGGGGAGAGACAAACTGATTTCTGAGGTCTCCACTGTTTGCTTGTGGTGTTTTTGTCCACCGTCTTTAGACCTGCCCTAGCTCAGCCGGATATTTTGTTTTCTCGGGAAGCCCTCATGTTTCGATGCTGTTTTAACAGGAGTGACAGTTTTGAGAACCCCGTGCTGCAGCAGCACTTCCGGAACCTGGAAGCCCTGGCTCTGGATATGATGGAGTCTGAGCAAGTCGTAGATCTGACATGTAAGGGACACGGGCTTAGCCGGGCTCTGTCGGTGAGAGGGATTGAAGCCGAGGGAGGGGAGGGGCTCTTCCACTTTGTGTGGTGACCTACAGGCTCAGCTGAGAACTTCCTTTAAATTTAAATCAGAGGCCTGGCCCTGTCTCAGCTCCAAGTGGAGCTGGGGTGTGTGTGTGTGTGTGTGCGTGTGCGTGTGTGTGTATACTGGGTGGGGGCAGTTTTTAGCCAGCTCCAAACCTTATTCAGACCGTCTCTGCTTGACAGGTTTTCTAGGTCACCTCAGACTGCGTGGAACAGATTCAGCTAGCTCTGTAGTGACAGGAGGAAAAAGTGCCAGGCCCCTGAGACGCAACTCTGAACTAACTAGGCCACCCCATGTCTACGTGTCGGTGAAAGTTAACGTTGATAACACCTGCTGAGGCCTGCAGTGGCAGGTGCTGTTTTCCTGCTGACTCAGCTGACATTCAGAATTTGGAAACAGGCTCCATTGCTGTCCTTAACTTTACAGAGAAGGGAAAGGCTTTACCAAGTAACAGGTGCTGAGCTCTCAGTAGCGTACGCAGGGAAACTGAGTGCTGGCCCTCACCCTGAACCACTGTGCTTGCCGCTCTTCTGTCAGGCCTGGGCTTCTCTGGCCTTGCTACTAGACCCCTTGATGGTGGTGTTCTCTCATGTTTATGAGGATACAGTGACATGGACTGTGACAAGAAAATGAATAGTTACTGAGGCAGATTGGACGTAATGAAGGTCCTTGTAACAGTTAAAAGGACTAGGACAATTAGTTTGGCCTGCTTAGCTTCCTAGTTAGCTGCGGCCTCCTGCTGCTGTTACAAGCAGGCATCATTGTGGGGACTGTCTAGCTGGGTCTAGCAGCCGGCGCCCCTCAGGTTCAGCAGCCTGTGAGGAAGCACGAGGATGTGTGTAGGATGTATGCAGGTAGGTTCTATGCATTTAAGTAAGGACTGGCACTTCCAGGAATTAGGACTCTGAGGACACCATGCAGGAAGGATGCCAGGAGGATTTTGTTGCTTGTTTTCATGGCCCAGTCAGCTGCCTTGTCTCCAGCCCTTCCCCCTAGCCCGACTCAGCGCTCTCTCGGTGTTCCCCACAGAGCTGGAACTGGACAGATGACTGGTCTGCATGCGACTCGCCTGACCGTTGTGTTGTTCTGTTTTTCTAGTGCCCAAGGCTGAAGCCATAAAGAAAAGACTGGGCTCCCTGGCAGCTGAGTTCAAAGAGCTTGTCTACCCGCCAGGGTATAATCCCGAGGAAACAGTTTCCAAGAGAAAACAAGGTGAGGGGCCGGGCACAGTCGCGAAGCACCTTCCTGTAGCGCGGTGCCCTCGTGGCCTTTATGGTCTCACCGCAGAGGTCATTTCTTTTCTTTTCTTTTTTCTTTGGGGGGGGGGGGGGTGGGGGGGGGGGCACTGGGAGTTAAGGTCAGGATCTCACACATGCACGTAAGCGCTGTATCACAGAGCTGCACCCCAGCCTTTCCGGAAGTCTGTACGCAGGGGTACTGTGGCTCAGTGTTAAAGTACTTGCCTAGAGATTTCTATACAAATGAGCGTCTTGTTTGTGGGGGGGGGGGGGGGGGGGGGGGGGGGTCGGGGCGCGGGGGCGAGGGGGGGGGGGGGGGGGGGGGGGGGGGGGGGGGAGTACGGGCACACGATGCCATGGCGCGCATGTGTGGAGCTCAAAGGACAGCTTTGAGGAGTCAGTTCTGGGCTCCGGGGGTCAATCAGGTTTACGTGGCAAATACGTGGATCTGATGGGCCCTTCAGCAGCCCCATACTTACTAAAAGATTTCTCTCAACACTGTACGAGTGTCTTGCCCTCACGTGTGTATGAGCACCACCTGCACGTCCGGTGCGCCTGCAGAGGTCAGACAAGGGAATCAGGTCTCTTGGAACTGGAGTTACAGGTGGTCGTGAGCCACCGTGGAACTCTGGGAACCACCTCCAGCTCCTCTACCTCATTTTAAAAATTAGGCTGATGAGCTGGCTCAGCGGGTGAAGGCACTTGCCCTGTGCAAGTAACCAGAGTTCCCTCCCTAGAGACCAAAGAAAGGTGGGAGAAGAAAACCCATCCCACTAATCTGTTCTCTTATGTCCACACACTACAAATGTTATTAAAGTTGGGCTACGGCATACTTAGCCAGTGGCGGATATCCCTGCCCGCCTTTTAATGAGGCCTTGTATTAGGGGTTTTCTACAGTGAACATTGACAATCCTGTGTGTGTTTGAACAGATCAATAGGGCAATTCTTAGCAGCAGAGTTGCTGGGTCAAGAGGGAAACATTAAATCTGCGGGGTTTGGGATAGTAGCTTAGTGGCTCAGAGTGGTGGATAGGCAAATATAAGGACCTGAGTTCAGATTCCCAGCCTCCACTTGAAAAATCCAAGCATGGCCACAGTAGCATATAATCCCAATATGCATACACACACCTCTCCCTGATAAGAACTGCATCAGAAGTTGGGTATGGTCGCACATGCCCATAGTCCCAGTACTCAGAAATCTGACAGGAAGGCCTGGGGTATACAGCCTCCAAAGAAGCAACATTTATACCCTGTCTAGGAAGAAATGAGTCTGTTTTTATATGCTCTTTAGTGTGTTTTGCTGAGACAGGCTTTGTAGTCCAGGCAAATCCTCAAATTCAGGCTGCCCTTGTCTGACCCTCCTGGGTGCTGGGGTTTTAGGGGAGGACCACACAATAGCTTCTACGATTTTGCAGTCTTGTACTTTACATTATCGAAAATTTTAAAGATGTATGTATCAATGTATGTAAGTGGGTGTTTTGTCTGCATGGACAACATATGCACACCAGAAGAGAGCATCAGATCCCATGGGACTACAGGTGAGACATGAAGGCCATGGGTATTGAACCTGCGCCCTCTGGAAGAGCAGCCAGTGCTGAGCCATTTTCCAGCTCCTATCTTAATTTCCACAAAAAAAATGGCAGAGGGACTACATGGCCTGTTTTGGTGTGTATGTTGCGCTCTAGTTGGGAGTGGTGTGGTCTCACTGGGATTTTCCTGGCACCGACCACTTCCTACCCGGCAGCTCTCCTTTACTGTCAGGCTCATGTTTGTAGAGAAGCACCAGGTGCACCGTCACCATTTTGAAATGGTTCTGGTTTAGGTTTTAATCCTTTTGGCTGTCTTTGGCTAAGTAAAGCCATATTTAATCCCTGTTGCCTAGTAGACCCATGAGGACAGGACTGGGAGCCATCCTGCTTGCTCCATTTTGCATCACAAACTTTCTTTTGGGAAAAAAATAGTGATAGGCTGTTTTAGGTTTACAGATGGTAATTGGCCATCTGCAGCCCACATCATAGGGCCCTGTTGTCATGTAGCTGTGATACCACTGGAAGCATTTCTAGGTCATTCCTTTCTGTCCTCCTCCTCTAGATGATGAAGGTTCTACAAATAAAAAGCCCAAGGTGGAGCTATCAGAAGAAGAGCTGAAGGCCCATGTTGTCAAGGGCACACTGGGCAAGCTCACTGTGCCTATGCTGAAGGAGGCCTGCAAGGCCTGTGGGCTCAAGAGTGGATCAAAGAAGCAGGAACTGCTAGATGTTCTCATCAGACACTTTGAGAAGAACTGAAGATTTCCACACCACAGCCAGGCCACCTGCTTGTGTTCTTACCAGGGCAGCAGGAAAGGTTTCTCAGCTATGAAGAGCTGCCTGACAGAAATGCAATGGCTTCACCATGGAGACTGAAGCCCTCCCACCTCACTGTGCCTTACTCGCATGAATAAAGAGCTCTAACTATAGTGGGTACAGTTCAGTGTGAATGGGTAAGTAGCTGCCTTGAATCTATAGGCTACTGGTAAATGGCTATCTTAATTTTTTCCCCATAGAAGTACGTATCACAGTGGAAACCCAGAACATCTTAGTGAAGGTGGGGTAAGAACAGGACATGGACACTGGACGTACAGGTACTTCTGGAGTGACAAGCCTTAGCAAGATTCTATTTCCATGTGTCCTCCCACATTTTCTCTAAATGTGTGGTGCTGGGGCTGGAGAGATGGCTCGGCAGTAGAGAGCATTTGCTGCTCTTATGGAGTATCCAGGTTCATAACCATCTCGTAACTCCACTTCTAGGGCACCCAATAGCCTCCGACCTCCACGAGCACTGAGTGTGCACATGGTAAACATACACATTTACGCAGGCAGAACACAAAAAGAAAATAAAATCAAGCCATCCAATTCCTTTTGGATTCCGATTAGCCAAAGAAGTTAAGACAGAACTACCTGAAACCCTACCATCCACAAATGCCCAGCTTCTTGGTATGATGACTGGCCTGGTAGGTAAGCAGGACAGATGAGTCTTAGGTGCCTTGATTAAAGTGTGCTCTCTGCTGGAGTAGGAATACTGGCCCAGCCAAGACAAGAGAAAAATGAATATAACTTGTCCTAATTTACTACTATGGTACAGTTATTTACAGATTTCTCAAGCTGAGGTGTTAAGTTTGGTACAGGCATAAAGCACAAACAGCAGGAGAGGCGGCAGTGACCTCAGTCACACACACAGATTCTGCATGTGCCTGACTGCCAACAGTGGTTTTCAACTGTGGGTGATCTTGTTCCTAGTTAATCATCTCTGGTTGGGAGTGGAGGTGGAATGTTAGTGCCATCTAGTGTGCAGAGGTCAGTGAGGCCACCAAGCACACCATGCTCACACTCGGGTATTACCACTCTAGTGACCGAGCCTGTACGAGAGAATATTGAACTACCAGGCCTGCCAGGTGACATCTGTACAAGGAAGACTTCAGTACAGAGCTCAGTGGTAGGTGTGTGCTTGCTGCTTGTCATGTACAGAGCACCAAGTGAGACGGAGCAGCTAAGCACCACTAAAGTGTGGCAGTGCATCCTGTAATTACAGCCTGGGAGGGAGACAAGGGATCTCTTGAGACTTCAGGCCTCCGCCCCCATGCCACAACTGCCTGAGAAATGCTAAGCATTTCAGCATTAGCTGACAAAACTGAAAATCAGGCACTGCTGCCACAGTTCATTAAAATGAACTATGAACATACTTCTTTATTACAATGCTCACGAATGAACAACTCATCACTTTCTTCATGTGACTGAGAATACATTTCACCTATGTTGTGGAAGAGGAAAAGGGCTCCCAACACAGGTGTCAAATGACTCCACAAGAAATCTCCATTCACCAAGGAGAGAATGTTTCCCCATAGTATTGTCTCTGCTTTAAGTTCCTGCCATAGACCGGATTACCCCGGAATCCTTTATTGCCACATGAATTGACTGTTTTGTTCCTGCTACTCTTCAAGATCCAGGCAGTTAAACCCACCCAGGCTGTCCCTGGAGTCTGCAGAACATCCCTTTACTGTTACTGCCTTGATACCCTCAGAAGCACAGCTGAGTGGGATGAGAATATAAGGCTTTGATGAGACACATCAAAGTCACACCGAATATTAATAAATGGCACTTGGACATAGGCCCATCATTATCAAATTTTCTCTTCAAATGATAAGGGGATAGAGGGGCTGCTACCCAAAGAAAGCTCCTCAGTCATGGTAACATTTATGGAGAGCTTATATATGCAAAGGCACAAGGGACCAGTGTGACTGTCATCCTATCCTGCACAGTGGAAGAAATTTGCAGATGCCTGGCTTAGGTTTTTTCTGGTTCTTCCTGTTGTTAAATAGTGACATTCTCTTGCCAGCCTGTCTACCATTTCAGTAAGTTAGAAGAAAGACTACGGTGATGGGGACAAAACAACCCTGTAAGAAAAATTTAAAAATACAAAAACCAGATGTAGTACAATATTTATAATAGAAACTGGCTGAAAATACTACATGCTAACAGATAATATGATACACAAACAGGGTGGGAGTAGACGGGAAAGGGCAGAGGCCACAGGCCTACACCAAGAGCCTTTCAATGGACTGCTGAATGGACTGGATCTGCTGCTTGAGCTGAGAGCCTTCTTTGATGGTGACAGAACAGGCGATGACGGGCCTGGAGACCCCACAGGCTCGTCCTAAAGCCTGCTTGGAGCGCACAAACACATACGGGACATTCTTGTCTTCACACAGCAGTGGGAGGTGCAGGATGATCTCTAGGGGCTCAGCGTCTGCTGCCATCACAATGAACTCAGAAATGCCTCTATTGAGTGTTTTCGTGGCTGTGGAGACAGAATACAAAACCAACAGATGACATGGAGCTTGGGCAAAGCAGCCACAACAAAGCAAGGAAAAGTAACAGGTGCATGGATATGGGCAAATGCTTAGAACAAATCAGGTGAGGTGGGGCACGCCTTTAATCCTAGCAGTTGGGAGGCAGATCTCTTGAGTTTGAGGCCAGCATGGTCTACACAGTAAGTTTCAGGACAGCCACATAGTGGCTACATAGTGAGACCTTGTCTCAAAAAGAAAAACAGCAAATAAAAAAATCCTTAATAATAGCAAATTTCTGCCTGGAGCGGCCCTGGCATGTAATAAGGTACCCAAACACTGACTGACTGCTTAATCCCCAATGTCGTCATCAAACCTTATACCCCAATCTTCTGGTCAGTTTTCCTGATAGCACACGCGTCCAGATCACCACCATCTCTCACCTACTAGCTGTAACATTTTCTCCATAAACGAGGTGCAGTTCTAACCTACCACCAAGCCCCAGTTCTCTGTTCCAACATCACTTTCTCAGAAGACTCAATCTAAACACCTATGTACCCTAGTCTCCTCCTCCATAGCACATCTGACTACCAGACATATAATCTACACCTTTCTCCACAATACTGTGAACTCCAAGAATGGAGGACACAACAAGAGAGACAAGTAAGCCAGGTATGGTGGCACATCCCTTTAATCCTAGCACTTAGGAGGCAGAGGCAGGCGGATCTCTGAGTTCAAGGCCAACCTGGTCTACAGAGAGTGCAGGACAGCCAGGGCTACATGGAAAAACCCTATCTCAAAAAAAAAAAAAAAAAAAAAGTGAAGGAGGGTGAGAAGGAAAATGAAATATCCTAAATCCTAAAACCCAGCTTCCCTTCCAAACTAGGAATCCAGGAGACTCTTGTTGAAAACCTTCAACACCCCAGCATCCCTGTCTTACCTTCATTAGCTCCTTTCCGAAGCTGCTTGTAGTTGCATGACTGCTGAACAAGGTCCAGCAGCTTCTTGGTGAGATGGGCATCTGCGAGGGGATAGGCCTTTGGATTCACATCAGCCTCTGTCTATAGAGAAACACAAGAGTCAAACTGGACCAGAAGTTGTTCCAAATAAATTCAACAGAGACAACGACCAGCTTGGTCACATGTACAGGAACGTGCTAGCTCAGTCAGGGATAGATGAGACCAAACTTAAAAAAAAACAACCCCTGGTGGTGCACATATTTAGTCCCAGATTAAATGTCTTTGGGAGACAGGCAGGTGGATCTCTGAGTTTGAGGCCAGCATTGTCTACAGAGCAAGTCCCAGGTACTGGAGAGATGGCTCAGTGGTTAGGAGCACTAACTGCAAAATTATTTAAAATAATAATAATAATAATAATAGCACTGACTGCTCTTCCAAAGGACCTGGGTTCAATTCCCAGCACCACACAGCAGCTCTCAACTGTAACTCCTGTTCCAGAGGATCCGATGCCCTCACATAGACTCTACATGCAATCAAACACCAATATACAGAGCAAGTCCCAGAGCAGCCAAGACCACACAGAAACCTTGTCTCAAAAAACCAAAACAAAAAACAAAAACAAACAAAAAAGAAAACCACCCACCACCAACAAACAACCTCCAAAACCCAAACCACCTCCTAGCAATGCAACAAAGAAACCAACTAAGTACAGACAGAACATAGAACATGCACATTAACACAGGCAGGCCTGACCACTCTCCAGTGTCCTTTTCTGGACTCCAAGGGCAAGAACAATCATACACACACTCCTACTCGATACTTTTATTTTAGCAAACTGATAACCAACAAGCTCATGGAGACGACATCCATCACTAAACTCATCAGGTCGAGATTTGCTACCACAACTACCCAGTTCAGAGTATCATACTCAAAAGTTACTCAATTTTATCTGTGAGTTAATATATACAACTGTTTATAACGGTGATTTAAAATATCACTTAATTTTATTTTCCAAATATGTATAAAAAAACCATGACTCAGCTGGGCGGTAGTGGTGCACTCCTTAATCCAAGCACTCAGAAACCCTGTCTCAGACCAAATAAATAAATTAATTAAAAAACAAAACAACAACAACAAAAAAAAAAACCCTTCAGGGCTAGTGAGATGATGCTTGCCTTCAGGCCTTCACCTTGAACTTGATCCTCAGTACCCATAGTGCAGAGTACTGACTTCTCCAAGTTGTCTCCTAATTTCCATATATACACTTGCACCAATGAGCAAATGCAGTTAGAACAAAACCATTGGCGTACTGGCAGCACGAAGCTGCTGAAGGAGGTGGGTCTCTGAGTTTGAGGCCACTGTTTGACAGGCTGAGTACCAGGACTACACAAGACTGTTTCAAAACAAAAGTCTAAAAAGCAAACAAAAAAGGGAGTGGGCTTGTTTGGACTTGGAGGCATGACCTTGTAAGCAAAGGGACATATAAACTATGTTTTCTTACCTAGTATTATTAGCTACTGAGTTTAACATGTGTTTCAGAAGTTGACAAAGTCTTTTAAAATGAATGAAATGATCCCAGCACTAGGGAGGCAGAGGTAGGCAGATCCCTGTGAGTTCAAGGCCAGCCTGGTCTACAAATGAGTCCAGGATGGCCAAGGATGTTACATAGAGAAACTCTACCTTGAAACAAAACAAAAAAGAAACAGACTGCACATAACTGTATAGACACACACAAAAAAACTGTTAGGGTGCAGTGGCACAGGCTCGTAGTCACTGGGGAGGAAGGTCTCTGCAAGAGAGTAAGGCCAGCCAGGGACAGAGTGAACCTGTCTCAAAATATCAAAAAAGAAGAGCTACTGAATCATGCTGGAAACAGAAGCACTTTATGGCATTCAGAACTGGAACATTTAAACTATGTTTTGAATTTATGTATTAATATACTGGTTTCAAACCTTCATTCGGCGTCTTCCTGTCTTTGGATTTGTTACTGGCTTTCACTACTTCCTCTCTTTTCCCTTAAGGAAATTTGCTAGGTTGCCTGCGCTAGCTCTGAATCCCTGGGCGGGCTCAATCCAATGATACTTTCAAGGAATCAGAACTTCAAGTGCACACCTAGCTTTACCTCTAAGCTCTCACGTGTTAGAAGACAATTCAGAAGTCAGTCTACTTAATTCACTTTGTAAATATTTTTGTGATGTCAGAAACTGAATTCAAGACCTTCAGCCTGCTAGCCAAGCACTGACCTGAGACACGGCTTGCCATACAACCCAGGCAAGCCAAGTTCAATCCTAGCTTGATCAACTTGGTCTCTTTGTATACCTGACAATCAAACACACAAGGCTTTGATTTGGCAGACACAGCCACACACAACCTAATGCCTCTGTCAACAGGAGCCCGCTTATAACAGAACTGATAAAGGCCGACTGTCCTGGACTCCATTTGTACACCAGGCTGGCCTCGAACTCACAGGGATGCGCTAGCCTCTGCCTCCGAGTGCTGGGCCCGGGCGTGTGCCACCAGGCCCCGCTAGAAGCACGACCTGGAACCCTCTCTACATGATTATAAAGTGGAGACGCTGAAGCGCTATCGTCGCCCGCGGCGCTACCAGGACCTCGGTCTCATTAGGTAGAAGTCTTCCCTGCGGCCCCCCGCCGAGGTCACTGCACATTCCCCCTGACTCCAAAGTTAAAAAAAAAAAAAAAAAGAAATTCCTTAAAAGCGACGGAGGGATGGGGCGAGCCTTTAATCTCAGCCCTGAGGAGGCAGAGACAGACGCACCTCTTGAGAGTTCGAAGCCAGCCTGGTCTACAGAGTTCAAGACCAACCAGAGCTACATACTGAGCCCCTAACCAAACCAAACCAAACCAAAACCCCCCAGCGCCCCTGAACTCCCTAAGCCGTGTTAGTTCCCGACAGCCACTAGATCAGACGGAGATACAATCCTCAGTCCCGGAGTGGGAAAGGGGTAGCAGTTGACTTGAACCGCGTTGACTCCACGTTATCTTCTAGATACCGTTTAGAGAAAAAAAAATATATATATATACATGGGCGCAGGAACAGAGAAGGGTTCTCCATCCGCGTCCCCCATCCCACGTGGGCGGTCGTTTTTCCCACGCCGCTGCCCCGGCCTCCGGCCACGCCCACCGCTGCACCGCCGACCGGCGCCACGGCGACCTGGGCCCTCCCTCCGGCCGCCCGGGTTCCGGGCTCCGCGGGCCCTGGGACGAGGCCCGCGGCCGCCCGAGCTCTCCGCCCGGGCCCGGAGGCCGGCCGCGGCGGGGCGGGCGAGATGGCGCACGCGCTCCGCCTCCCACCGGACGGAGCGGCGGGAGCCCGCGCCTCCCGCCTCCCGCGGCCCCACGCGCTCACCCACCATGGCTGCGGTGCGCCGGCCTCGCCGCGATCCGAGAGCAGCCCGCCTCAGACACACCGAAGCGCCGCGCGCACGAGGGAGCGGAAGTCGCCGCCGGCGCGGGAGGAAGCGGAAGTGATGTCACCGCGAGCGCGCGGTGACGTCCACCCGGCGCCTTTCCCGGAAGGCGCGAGAGCTGAGGTCGTCTTTGCGTGAGGGAGCTTGTTTCCCCGGTCTTCTTAGCGTCCTAGTGTGAACGACCGGCCCAAACGGAATTGAACACTCGGAAAGTGAGCCGGCTGCGGTGGCCGACGCCTTTAATCCCAGCACTCGGGAGGCAGGCAGATCTCTGTGGGTTCAAGGCCAGCCTGGTCTACAAAGCAAGTCCGGGACAGCCAGGGCTACACAGAGAAACCCTGTCTGGAAGAAAAAAAAAAACAAAAAACCCAAAACATTCTGAAAGTACCACACCAGTAGAACGGGTGTTAAGGGTCGCCGTTTCATTGCCAATTGTTTTTTCTCTTGTTTTTGTTTTTCGAGTACATGGTGTACCCTTTCAAATCGTCTTCTCGGACCTGAGGTCATCGCAGCACTTGGAAAATAGGAGGCAGTAGAATCAGGACCCTGCCAGCTTAAGTTACACAGAGTTCGAGGCCAGCCGTGGGTTACCTGAGACTTTGTCTTTTGCCTCAAGAAAACAAAATAAAAACTACAGTGGTAAGACAAACTGCAATTAAATATTTTCTTCATCTGAGATAGCCCGCATCAGTGTTTTTGGTGGCCGTGGAGTTAGGATTCACGTAGGTGATTCCTACAATAGGTTTGGAGTCAGGCGATGATTCTCAGCCTGTGGGTCGCGACCCTTTCACAGCGGCCGCCTAAGACCTTTGGAAAACACAGGTATTTACATTACGATTCATAACTACGGTTATGAAGTAGCAATGAGGTTAATTTTATAGGTGAGGTTCACCACAGCATGAGGAACTGTATTAAAGGGTCGCAGAATTAGGAAGGTCGAGAACCTCTGGAGTAGGGGGAGAGGGAACGATGGATTGTGTTTGGAGTAAATGCTTGTATACCACACCTGCTTTCTCCTGCTCAGCTTGCCCTTTCCTTGATGACGTACTAAAATGACTGCCCCATGTGGGGCTGGTGAGATGTCTAAATGCACTGACTGCTCTTCCAATGGACCTGGGTTCAATTCCCAGCACCCACATGGCAGCTCACAGCTGTCTACAGCTTCAAGATCTGACACCCTCACACATGCATGCAGGCAAAACAGCATTGCACATAAAATAAAAATAAATAAATAAATAAATAAATAAAAACCTTCCTTATTAGAGGATAAACTCAAGTCTAGCACTCCTTCCCATGAGGTTTTCTGTGATCCTCATGGCTTCTCATTTTTTTCTAACATGATGGGGCCATTTGGATCTAGCCCGGACTACACCATTCGGAGCCAGTTTCAGTTCATTGCTTCCGAAATGTAGAAGCTGAGAGCTGGGTGATTGCTAAGAACCATACAAAATAGCTCCTCACTTTTACAGACAGAACAAAGTGTAGAGAAGGGAGGAACCCTGCCCACCGTCAAGAGTGAAACAGTGGCAAAGCTAAAGCTTGAGATTTCTAGCTATTGACCTGGGTCATTTTCACCAGATGTGGCTACATGAGCAGTGTTGGGGGGTCAGGTAACTGGTAGAGGCTGGAGAGACAGCTCACTGATTCAGTGCACTGGCTGCTCTCCCAGACATCCCAGGGTCAACTCCCAGTACCCGTATGGAAGCTCACAGCCGTCTCTAACGGACTCCCTCATGCATACAGGCAAAACACCAGTGTACATAAAATAATTAATAAAAAGGGGCGGGAGGGTGGCAGCAACACAAATCCCGCAAAGGAAGTGCAGCTGCCCAGCTTCACAAGGGAGTGAGTGGGATAAAGAATTTCTGAGGGCTGGAGACATGGCTCAGAGGTTAAGAGCACTGGTTGCCCTTCTAGAGGTTCTGAAGGCTCACAACATGGCGGCTCACAACCATCTATAGTGAGATCTGGTGCCCTTTGGGCCTGCAGGCACACGTGGAGACAACCCTGTATACATAATACTTTTTTTGAGGCAGGGTTTCTCTGTGTAGCCTTGTCTGTCCTGGACTCACTTTGTACACCAGATCTGCCTGTCTCTGTTTCCCTGAGTGCTGGGATTACAGACATGCCCTACTATGCCTGGCTTAATCAATAAATAAGAGAGAGAGAACCTGCTGTTCTTGAAGAGGACCTGGGTTCAGTTCCCAGCACCACATGCCATAACTCTAGAAATGGAATTTTTATTTTATTTAATGGAGGCCTAGTGGCTTATGCATGTAATCCAGCACTTAGCAGAGACAGAAACCCTGGGCAGTGGTGGCACATGCCTTTAATCTCAGCACTCGGGAAGCAGAGGCGTGTGGATCTCTGAGTTTGAGGGCACCCTGGTCTACAAAATACAAACAAAACAACCAAGCCAGAATTCCTAGAAAAGGAAAAGTAGGGGAGGGGAGAGGAGAGTGGTTGATTTGGAGAGACAGTTCTTCCAGAACCTTCTATGATATGATGGAGCCTGGCTTAGGTAGTTTTGCTTCCATGGTCCTTTTACTACCTTATTCAGCCTGGGTGTGGTGGTACATGCCTTTAATTCAACACCCAGAGGCAGGCAGATCTCTATGAGTTTATGACTAGCCTGATTTACATAGTGAGTCCTAGATCAGGGAGGGGTCTGGAGACATAGTGATACCATGTCTTTGTTTAATCAACTGTGGTAGTAAATGCCTCAGACTGGGGCAGGAGGACCAATGTGAAATTTAGGACAGCCTGCACTATACTGAAAGGTCCTGTCTCAAGACCAAAAAACACAAACATAAAAATTCAGTAAGTTGTTGACAATCATAGTTGTGTTGCCATGGTGTAGAACTTTAGAATTCCCTCTGTTCAAATGTACCCAACTACCCATCAATGAGGTAGTTTTATTGTCACCACTGAGTTCCTTTTTTTTTGGTATTCGAGACAGGGTTTCTCTGTGTAGCCTTGGCTGTCTTGGCTTTGATGACCAGGCTGTCGTCAGACTCAGAGATCTGCCTGCTTCTGTCTCCCTGAATGCTGGATCACAGGTGTGCATCTTTAAACTCAAGAGTCCTCTATCTGTTCTTTGTTGTCTTGAGGGGCCAAGAAGTCACTTTAACCTATTTATTAGTCACTGCTTGGGCACAGGTTTATGGCCCCAAGTCATGGATGAGACTTCCCTCTCTGTCCCTGGTGAAGGCTCTGGGATGAAAGGAGTAGCTGTGGGCCAAGGTCAGGGCAAACTGAGCAAATCGGAGTTGTACCAAACTGAACTTGCTATTTAGCCATTTGGCCACATGGAGGCATAACAATGTAGGTGCTAGTTTTTTTTTTTTTAAAAAAAAACTTATTTGCATTTCTTTTATCTTTTTCTCCCTACTGCACTCCAACCCCTTCCAACACCCCAACACTAGGTAGAAGCGAGAAAGGGTTATTGGGAGAGAGGAGGCAAAGTTCTTTTTTTTAGCTGCTTCCTGCTGGTCAGAGTCCTTGGGTTCCTTGGAGCCAGTCCAATCTTCGTTTCAGGAGCTCTCCATCTTCTTGTCTCACAACAGCAACCAGGAGCAGCAAGGGATGAGCAGCAAGGGAGAAGCAGGAGCAGCATGGTTCTTTCTCAGATCTTTTCTCTCTGGGCTCTGGCATTTATTCCCTCTCCAGACTCCTGAGATTCAAACTATCCACAGCTGGCAAAGAGCTCCTCTCAAAGCCCGCATGAGGCAAAGAGTCTACTGCTGTGGACCATCTGAATCAGTCCCACATCCACCACCTGGGAACAACACCACCAAAAAAACATGTTTATATCCACAACATAACACAGCATCTTGGACCTTTTGTCTGAGCCTATCCTGGTTCATCCAGGAGACGTTTCCTCCACCAAGGGCCTGTGAGCCAGAACTATTACCTAGAGCTGAAAGTGCAGCAGTGGGCAGGCTCCTTTGTGAGGTGGCCTCCCTTCAGTATGAGGTATTATGAAGTCAGGAGTACCCCACCCCAAACTGACTGAGCCAGCTACACCAACCAATGTTTGCTCACCACTGCCCCAAACACCATCGACCTGGCCTAAGCTTTGCCATGTTGCTGCCACTTCTGGGAGCCTGTGCCATGATGGGTCCATTTCAAGGCCCTGAGTGGGAGCCAGTAAGGGAGCTACTGTCTCAGGATCAAAGCTGCAAGGATCCCCGATGCTGTGGCAATCTGCTTGTCTTCTGCCTCTTTCTGATCTGGCAGATCCAACAGTTTTGGTATCAAGTTCTCAGGACCAGCAAGAGGAATGTCACCAAGGTAAAGGGGCTAATTCCTCAGCATCACAATTGTCAGTCACTTGCTACATGGACCCTGTCCTGCGTCCTGTGTCATAGGTGAACTACAGAGTTTAGAGTGCTCTGCATGAGCACTGTCTAGGCCTTGAACCCGGGAGTCATTCTAGGTCATCTCTTTTCATCACTCCACACACTCAACCCATTTGCAAGAGCCCTACATGCAAACCATATTTTATATCTGATGACTTCTGGAAACCTCTCTACCACCATCATTACAGCCACCATCATGTAGCTCTGGACATGGTAACAGCTGTCTACTATTGCCTGGTATAACCTTTCTTTTCCTTTTTAAAAAAAGTAAGATTGAGCCAGGCGCAGTGGCCCACACCTGTAATCCCGGCACTCTGGGAGGCAGAGGCAGGTGGATCTTTGTGAGTTTGAGGATCCCTGGTCCACAAAGGAGTCCAGGACAGCCAAGGCTACATAGAGAAACCCTGTTTCAAAAAACCAAAAAAATTTAATACAAGTGTATAAATCAGTGAACACACTCACGTGTGGCACCCAGATTAAGAAACACCATCAGGGGCTATCAAGATGGCTCAGTGGATAAGGCAGATTGCTGCCAAGCCTGACGACCTGACTTCCATCTCCAAAACCTACATGGAAGGAGGAAAATAATTCCCACAAACTGTCCTCTGATCTTCACACCTGTGCACACAGGCTTGTAGAGTACACCCACACACACACACACGTACACAACGTATATAAAAGAAGCACAATGG